CTAATCGAATTCTAAGAAATTTTGATAAAAAGAAAGTCTAGAATTCAATGCTTTGAAAAATGCAGTGCAAAGAACCTAAATAAAAATCTGCTTGAGGAGATGTGTGTCAGAATTATCTTGAAAGCATTACAGCACTCTCTTTTTTTCATTAGAAATTCTACTATGCATTATTTTTAATGTTCTTTTTCTTTTTTTTAAAAGATTTTATTTATTTGAGAGGGAGAGAGCATGAGTGTAAACATCGTATATACCTTAAAGAAAATACTTCATTACTAAAAAATGGCAACTACCATCTGAACCTCCAGCGAGTTGTCGTCCTGAATCGCAGATCACCAATAGCAAACATAATAATAATGAAAAATTTTGAAATATTGGAAAAATTATCAGAATGTGGCACAGAGACACAAAGCGAGCAATTACTGTTGGAAAAATTGCACTGATACACTTGCTCCATGCAGGGTTGCCACAAAACCTTCAATTTGTAAATAGCACAGTATCTGCAAAGGGCGATAAAGTGAAGCACAATCAAAGGAGGCACTGCTGTGGTATGTTTTGCTGATGCTTCTTAAGCTATTATGCTAAACACTGCTTATGGATTTCAACCATTTGGCTTGTTTTTCTGGTCTTCTACGGCAATATTGAACACTCTCAAATAATGCATAAAACACAGATTACACAATCCTTCTTTATGGGCCCCACATATCTATGTGGTTTGCCTTGAACAACATGAGTTTAAACTATATGGATCCACTATCAGTGGATTTTTCTTTTTAAAAGTACAGTACAGTGGGATCCCTGGGTGGCGCAGGGGTTTGGCGCCTGCCTTTGGCCCAGGGCGCGATCCTGGAGACCCGGGATCGAGTCCCACGTTGGGCTCCTGGTGCAAGGAGCCTGCTTCTCCCTCTGCCTGAGTCTCTGCCTCTCTCTCTCTCTCTGTGACTATCATAAATAAAAATAAAAATTAAAAAAAATAAAAGTACAGTACAGTATGGAACACGTATTTTCTGTTTTTCGTGGTCTTTATTTTTTTATTTTTATTTTTTTTATAAATTAATTTTATTGGTGTTCAATTTACCAACATACAGAATAACACCCAGTGCTCATCCCGTCAAGTGTCCCCCTCAGTGCCCGTCACCCATTCACCCCCACCCCCCTCCCCTCCCCACCCCTAGTTCATTTCCCAGAGTTAGAAGTCTTTATGTTCTGTCTCCCTTTCTGAGATTTCTCACACATTTCTTCTCCCTTCCCTTATATTCCCTTTCACTATTATTCATATTCCCCAAATGAATGAGAACATACACTGTTTGTCCTTCTCCGGTTACTGTGGCCAAGTTCAAAAAGGGTGTTGCCTGAGTTCTCCTCTGGGATTTTGATGGAATCTTGTCTCACATTTAGATCTTTCATCTATTTTGAGTTTATCTTTGTGTATGGTGCAAGAGAGTGGTCCAGTTTCATTCTTCTGCATGTGGATGTCCAATTTTCCCAGCACCATTTATTGAAGAGACTGTCTTTCTTCCAGTGGATCGTCTTTCCTCCTTTATCGTATATTAGTTGACCATAAAGTTCAGGGTCCACTTCTGGGTTCTCTGTTCTGTTCCATTGATCTATATGTCTGTTTTTGTGCCAGTACCACACTGTCTTGATGACCACAGCTTTGTAGTACAACCTGAAATCTGGCATTGTGATGCCCCCAGATATGGTTTTCTTTTTTAAAATTCCCCTGGCTGTTTGGGGTCTTTTCTGATTCCACACAAATCTTAAAATAATTTGTTCTAAGTCTCTGAAGAGAGTCCATGGTATTTTGATAGGGATTGCATTATACGTGTAAATTGCCCTGGGTAACATTGACATTTTCACAATATTAATTCTGCCAATCCATGAGCATGGAATATTTTTCCATCTCTTTGTGTCTTCCTCAATTTCTTTCAGAAGTGTTCTATAGTTTTTAGGGTATATTTTGAGAACCATTTGAATGGTAAATGGTTCTCCAACCTTTTATTTTCAGGTTGTAGGTGTCCTTCTGTCTAAAATGAGTCTCTTGTAGACAGCAAATAGATGGGTCCTGCTTTTTTATCCAGTCTGAAACCCTGCGCCTTTTGATGGGGTCATTAAGCCCATTCACGTTCAGAGTTACTATTGACAGATATGAGTCTAGTGTCATCATGGTATCTATTTAGTCCTTGTTTTTGTGGATTGCTCCACTGAACTTCTTCTTAAAGGGGAGTTTTAAGAGTCCCCCTTAAAATTTCTTGCAGAGCTGGTTTGGAGGTCACATATTCTTTCAGTTCCTGCCTGTCTTGGAAGCTCTTTATCTCTCCTTCCATTTTGAATGAGAGCCTTGCTGGATAAAGTATTCTTGGTTGCATGTTCTTCTCATTTAGGACCCTGAATATATCCTGCCAGCCCTTTCTGGCCTGCCAGGTCTCTGTGGAGAGGTCTGCTGTTACCCTAATATTCCTCCCCATGAAAGTCAGGGACTTCTTGTCTCTTGCTGCTTTAAGGATCTTCTCTTTATCTTTGGAATTTGCAAGCTTCACTATTAAATGTCGAGGTGTTGAACGGTTTTTATTGATTTTAGGGGGGATCTCTCTATTTCCTGGATCTGAATGCCTGTTTCCCTTCCCAGATTGGGAAAGTTTTCAGCTAGGATTTGTTCAAATACATATTCTAGCCCTCTGTCCCTTTCGGCGCCCTCGGGAACCCCAATTAAGCGTAGGTTTTTCTTCCTTAGATTGTCATTTATTTCCCTTAATCTGTCTTCATGGTCCCTTAATTGATTGTCTCTTTTTTCCTCAGTTTCCCTCTTTGCCATTAACTTGTCTTCTATGTCACTCACTCGTTCTTCCACCTCGTTAACCCTCGTCGTTAGGACTTCTAGTTTGGATTGCATCTCATTCAATTGATTTTTAATTTCTGCCTGATTGGATCTAAATTCTGCAGTCATGAAGTCTCGTGAGTCCTTAATGCTTTTTTCTAGAGCCACCAGTAGCTGTAGAATAGTGCTTCTGAATTGGCTTTCTGACATTGAAGTGTAATCTAGATTTTGTAACTCTGTGGGAGAGAGGGCTGTTTCTGATTCTTTCTTTTGAGGTGAGGTTTTCCTTCTAGTCATTTTGCTCAGTGCAGAGTGGCCAAAAACAAGTTGTATTGGAACACGGGGGAGTATCACTGGTCCGTCTAGCTGGTCTTCTGGGGGAGGGGCCTGCTGTGCTGATTTTCAGGTGTTAGCACTTGGGGGAGCTGCTCTGCCCCTGCCTGCTGCAGGGCTCAGCGGGGGTTGTTTACCCCGTGGGGTCCCAGGAGGATCAGCCGCAGTTGCTATGGCAACTCTGGAAGCCTGGATTCAGCCTCCGCAGGAACTACGGGGCTCTCCGTCCCGCAGGGCCTGGAGGCTCCGGGGCGGGGCCGCTGATCTGCTCAGCTCGGGGCAGGAGCGTCCTTGCTGTCCTGGGCCCTCCTGGCCTCTGCCTGTCCCAGGGGGAGGCCGGATCCTGGGCTGTGTCCCGGCGCCCTGTGCTCCGAGGCCTGCGCTGTGGGATTTGCGCTCCCGCCCTGTAGCTCCCTCCCTGGAGCCGCTCCCGAGCCCCTCCGAGCTGCTCCGGTCGGTCCCGCCGTGCGCGCTGCAGCCCTTAGGGAGCTCGGCGCACTCCCCTGCGCTCGCAGGTGTCTGTTAGTGTCCCCGGGAGCCCGAGGGCATCCCCGCTCTCCTGGGTCCTGCTCCAACTCCCTGCGAGCCCCTTTCCGCCCGCCCGGGAAGGTTGGTGCAGCTCCTGCTTCTCCGGGACGGGGCTCTCCTGTCCTGGGGACACTCGCCCCGGCCTCAGCCCGGCTCCTCGCGGGGCCCCTCCCCCTCGGAGGCCTTTTGTTTCTTTATTTCTTTTTCCCCGTCTTCCTACCTTGATAGAAGCGTGAACTCTTCTCACTGTAGCATTCCAGCTGGTCTCTCTTTACATCTCAGGCCGAATTCGTAAATTTTCAGGATGGTTTGAAGGTTATCTAGGTAATTTGGTGGGGACAGGTGATTTGGGGACCCTGCTCTTCCGCCATCTTGCCCCTCCCCCTCTTTATTTTTTTAATTAAAAAAATTTTTTTTATTTATTTATGATAGGCACACAGTGAGAGAGAGAGAGAGGCAGAGACACAGGCAGAGGGAGAAGCAGGCTCCATGCACCGGGAGCCCGACGTGGGACTCGATCCCGGGTCTCCAGGATCGCGCCCTGGGCCAAAGGCAGTCGCCAAACCGCTGCACCACCCAGGGATCCCTCGTGGTCTTTAAAATAACATTTTCTTCTTTCTAGCTTACCTGATTGTAAGAATACCATCTACAACACATATGGCACACAACTGTATGTTAATTGACAGCTTATGTTATCTGAAAGGCTTCCGGTGACCAGCAGGCTCACGGTAATCAAGTTTTGGGGGGGTCAAAAGTCATAGGTAGATTTTCAAATATGAGTGGTTGGTGCCTTAACCCTTGTCCAAGGGTCGGCTGTACCTTACTCTATGACTGTTTCATAATTAATATGTGCCTGAGAGGGTGCAATTACATAATTTTAAGACTGTTCCTTTGATTATTACCTTATCAAGGAAAATTGTTTCAGATTAAGATCGTCTAGTTTGCTAAAACGTTTGGGTACACTATGATGCACGAAAATATACTTTAATGGCTGCAAATATGTTGGGATTTAATCATCCTGCGAATATTACGGGTGAGTTGTCTTCTCGTGCAATGCACAGATATGCACGGAGCAGGCCCTGGTTCTCCACTGCTTGGGGACTCCACGTTTTCCTTTTTCTTCCGGACTCAGGGGAATGTTTTCTGGTGTGGGGCAAGCTTTTGTGTTTCAAACTCCACTTGCAGTGACTTAGGCCTTTGGAAGTAAGAGCCGTTAGGGCTTAGGGACCACTTGTGCTGTCTAGCTCCGTACCTCCTTCGGGTGATGGAGCTCACAGCCCGCTAGGACCATGCAGCAAGGGAAGAGGAGGGAAATATATGGTACCTAGTTGGCGTCCGCTGAGGTCCGCTGAGGTGACGTCGCGGTCATCTGGTCGGCGAAGGCTTCTCTCGCGTGCCCGAGGTCTCCGCAGAGAGGCCTGAAGGCCGAGCCTACCCAAGACCTCTCCAGCATGGCGGTCTCAGGATACTCAGACTTATTTCTGGGTGCGTATTTTCTGACATTGCTGTAACCTGCATTTTGTTTTAAATTGTGATTCCTTCTCGGTAGCTGCTGCAGATTTACCACCAGGCTGTGGGTGTGGGGCTGGCAGCCGGCGGTAAAGACGTAACAGGACATTGGCCAGGAGAGCCGCCACCTCCTGCGTTTGCCCGCTAGTAACAAGGACGCATGCGCCACGCTAGCCGCGCCTGTCACGTGACGCGCAAGACGCGGTACGGCCTCCCTCTGCGCATGCGGGCTGGCGGTGCTGCGCTCCGGCGGGGCTGGTTTGTGAGGACAGGGCCCAGCTGCGCAGGCTCCGGTAGGGGCTTGCTGCCCGGAGGCCACAGAGGCGTCCGCTTTTTTTGGGCAACGGAAACAAAATATCTAGAAATCCAGGTGAGTCTCACTCTAGGGACTTGCAGTTTTCCCATTTTAAACAATTTGCCCATATTTTAGTGTTCTTTTTTTTTTTTTTTTGAAGATTTTATTTATTCATGAGGTAGCTTAGAGAGAGAGAGGCAGAGACACACGCAGGCAGCGGGTGTGGGACTCGATGCCGGGTCCCCAGGGTCACGCCCTGAGCTGAAGGCGGCGCTAAACCCCTGGGCCACCCGGGCGTCCCTATTTTAGCTTTTCTGTATAAATGATTATGCGATGTGTAAATACGTTTTAGTTCTGTCCTTCAGTACTTAGGTCTAATTTCCTTTTCTGTTTTGCAGCACTGGCCAGCCCTTCAATGCAATAGCACTCTTGCATAATAATATAGAAAAAAAAATTTTTTAAATATTTTATTTATTTATTTGAGAGAGAGTGAGAGAGCGCAAGTTGCGGGGGGGGGGGGCGGAGGAAGAGGGAGAAGCAGGCTCCCCCTCAGCAAGGAGCCCGCTGAGGGCCTGGTCCCAAGGCCCTGGGAACGTGACGTCAGCCAAAGGCACTTACTTACCCACGGAGCCACCCAGGGGTCCCCAGGACACCGAACTTTAAAGTAAGTATATGTAGGGGTGCCTGGGTGGCTCCGTGGGTCAAGTGTCTGACTTTCGATCTCAGCTCAGGTCTTTATCTTAAGAGGGGCGAGTTCAAGCCCCTCCTTGGGCTTAAAAAAAACAATTACTTAAAAATTGTGTAATGTTTTTCACTTAGAATGATGTTTTTTTTTTTTCTAGATAAAAAAACATATTATTCAGCTTAAGGAAGTTCCTTTATATCTCTAATTTAATATTAAATTAAAAAAAATAAGCCGTGTTGAACTAATTAAATGTTTTTTTTTCCCCCTACGTCTATGGAAATGTTCAGTTGGTCTCTAACATCTCTGATGCATTGAATTACATTTACGATTTTTTTTTATTTATTTATGATAGTCACAGAGAGAGAGAGAGAGAGAGAGAGAGAGAGGCAGAGACACAGGCAGAGGGAGAAGCAGGCTCCATGCACCGGGAGCCCGACGTGGGATTCGATCCCGGGTCTCCAGGATCGCGCCCTGGGCCAAAGGCAGGAGCCAAACCGCTGCGCCACCCAGGGATCCCCGATTTTTTTTTTTCTTTCACGTTTAACCATGTTCTTTTTGAAGAGAAACTCAATCTGGTTGTTTCTTAGGAATTAATATCCTATTGCTCCCCCCTCCCCATCTCTTTATGAGTGAAATAAGCCTGTATTTTTCCTTTCTCTGGTATCAGAGTTGAGTTGGGGAGCTTTCCCTCTCTCTATCTTAATGTCTGGAAAAGTTTGTCTAAAATTGGACTAATCTATATACTGACAATTTTGCAGACGTACTTTTTTTCCCAACTGCTTCTCCCTCTGCCTGTGTCTCTGCCTCTCTCTCTCTCTCTGTGTCTCTCATGAATAAATAGATAAAATCTTAAAAAAAATCTTAAAAAAACAAATATTGAATCAATTAATCTTTGATATTACTTGAAAGAGCTTGCATTTGACTCACAATTGTCAAAAAAAAAAAAAAAAAAGGGGTGGGCAGCCTGGGTGGCTCAGCGGTTTAGTGCAACCTTCAGCCCAGGGCGTGATCCTGGAGACCCGGGATCCAACATCTGGGGCTACTTTTTTCCTTTGAGGAAAGGTTTTTTTTTTGTTTTTTTTTTCATGTTTCACTGATGGACGTTTATTAAAATTGTACATAGATACATAGATATCATACTTCATTTTTGTTTTTGTTTAAAAAGAACTTCCTCTACTCCTAGTATCAAAATAGTTCTCTTTTTTAAATACCTTGAAAAACAGTAATACAATTATTTTGTTATATACTAAATATCTTCCTAAAATCGCCACCGGTTCTGCTCCATCTCTCTCCTAGATGTTTTACGGTGTTTTTGGCAGTTTTTTGCATGGCAGAACTCTGTGTAACAAAGCCTTTGAGTCTTTGAATTCCTGAGATTATTGGCCTCATATGCTGATGGCAGTTCAGTTAAATAGAAAATTCTGGGTTCTGTTCCATCGGTACTTTGGAAACCACTCCATTGTCATCTTACACCCAGTATTGATAATGAGGAATCTTATGTCAATCTGATTTTTTCTTTCTTTTGAAAGCTTTTAGTTTTCTCTTGTTTTTTAATATTCTCTAATTATACTAAATGTGTTTTAGGGCTTTTTTTCTGTATCATTTCCCTTTTACTTCGAGATCGTTTGTCTTTTTAAAGATTTTTTTAAAGATTTTATTTATACACTGAGAGAGAGAGAGAGAGAGAGAGAGAGAGAGAGAGAGAGAACGTGCCTGAGCAGGGTGGGGGCAGAGGGAGAGGTTGAAGCAGACTTCCTGCTGAGCAGGGAGCCCAACACAGGGCTCGATCCTTGGACCCTGGGATCATGACCTGAGCCAAGGCAGATGTTGAACCAACTGAGCCACCCAGGGTGGCACTGTTCTTTGCTGTTGGTCATTTCTTTAAAAAGTTTATATAATTTTTAACCTGTTGGTTGAAGTCACAGGAGAATATTTCTTTGGTTGCCTCTTGTAAAATTGGCTGGAATTCTCTCAGGGAGGACACAGGTTGAGGAGAAGGAATGAAATTGTTGAATATGAAGATAGGTTAAGTTTGTGGAAGTCTTACAAAAATTTGGGAACTATAGCCTGTTTAGAACCTAGATTTTGGAGACATGATATATTCAGTACTAAAGACTGCAAACTGTACTGTATTAAACTCATAAAACATTTTTAGATAGTAAATATGTACTTCCTTATTTCATCTTCATTTTGTTGAAAGACAACAACAGACTGCATAAGTTTCTAGGTTCTATTTTATTGGTAAAACTGAAAACATCTAGGGAGTGTGTTCTATTTATATAGATTAGGAATAAATAGGTCACGTGTATGTATCTTAATTCTTCATTTTTTTACACAGCACATCTGTACTGTTAAGCCAGGATGACCAGCTCATGTATTCGTGCTAGAAGGTTATAAAAAAACAAGATTCAGTCTAATTTTCAAAGCATTTCAACCCATTCTTTCCTTTTCTCTGAATCTATTCCATTCCAGTTTTTTTTACCAGGTCTGGACCCTGTGCTTCTGCTCTTGTGATTTTGAATGACCTTGGTTTCCCCATCTTCACAACACCACCCGCCTTGCCCCATGCCCTATATAAGACCGTGGTTTGTGTTCAATTATTTTTTGGGCTCTGAGCTGCTTTGGATGGGACATATCACCCTGGCACCTGAGACCCAACCAACTCTACTTGTCCTGGAGTTTCTCCCTAGGAAGAATGCAGGTATTGGAAATTATATTTCTTCCATATTGACACAAATCAAAGGTGCATGTGTATGCACTCATGAGTGGAGGGGAGGGGCAGAGGGAGAGGAACAAGCAGACTCCATGCTGAGCAGGGAGCCTGATGTGGGGCTTCATCTCAGGACCCTGAGATCATGACCTGTGCCGAAGGCACACTGTTAACCAACTGAACCACTCAAGTGCCCCTCATTGTGGTTTTGATTTGCATTTCCTCATAATCAGTTGTGTTGAGTGACTTTTATATACCTATTGGACATTTGTATGTCTTTTACAGAAAAATGTCTTTTCAGTTATGTTCATTTTTAAATCAGATTTTTTTCTTTATTAATTGCAGGAGTTCTTTATATACTTTGGATATTAACCCCTTATCAGATATGATTTGTAAATATTTTCTCTCGGCCATAGGTCACCTTTTCATTTTGTTGATGGTTTCATTTTCTGTGTATATTTTTAGTTTGATGTTGTATCACTTGCTTAGTTTTGCTTTTTATTTTTTTGATATCAAATCCAAAAAAAATTGTCAAGATCAATGTCAAAGATTTTACCCCCATGTTTTCTTCTAGGAGTTTTATGGTTTCAGGTCTTATATGAAAGTCTTTAATACATTTCGAGTTGGTTTTTGTATATGGTGTAAGATAGTGTTTCAGTTTCATTCTTTTGAATATAAATGTCCAGTTCTTCCAACACCATTTACTGAAAAGACTTTCCCCTTTGTATATTCTTGGCTCCTTTGTTCTAAGTTAATTGACCAAACATATGTATGTTTATTTCTGGATTCTCTATTTTGTTTCATTGATCTATGTATCTGTTTGTACCATTACCTTTAATTAGTGTAACTTTGTAATATAGTTTGAAATAAAGTGTCATTCCTCTAGCTTTGTTTTACTTTCTCAAGGTTGCTTGGCTATTCAGAATCTTTTTTGGTTTCATACAAATTTAGGATTGTTTTTTCTATTTTTATGAAAAATGCCACTAGAACGTTGACAAAGATTGCATTGAGTATGCAGATTCCTTTGGGTAGGATAGACATCTTAACAATATTAATTTTTCACTTCATGAGTAGGGCATATCTTTTCATTTATTTGTGTCTTCAGTTTCTTTCATCAGTGTCTGACAGTTTTCAGTGTACAGTTCTTTCACCTCCTTGTTAAATTTATTCCCAGGTGCTTTATTATTTATGATGCAATTGTAAATGGAATTGTTTTCTTAATTTCTCTTTCTGATAGTTCTTTTAAGCTAGTCTGAGATGAAACCGAAGGAACAGAATTAAGTGAAAGGAATAGGGGTCTTTTATTGTCAGTCTGGGAAGCATAGGGCAAACACAGAATTTGGATTGGAAATGTATTTGTAAGTTAAAAATAAGTAAAGATTAAGTTAATCTAAGTAAATTAACCACTTTGTTTAAAGGATTAAAACCTTTAATGAAGGTCCAGTGTTCAGAGATATTGAGTGTCCTACCTAAAAAACAGTGTTATTTTTAGCTGGACACTTAGGTGGCTGGGGATGGTTTGGTCATTCGCTAATTGGTGGTAGAGTTGACAAAAATGCAGATGTTCATTTTCACCCTTCTCAGAATCTAAGTGATAAGGGGCTTGCAGATACACACAGTGAAAACAGATTGCCATGAGAAGTCTTTATTATTTGACAAAAAAATCTAAATAAAATCATCAGAGTTCTCAGTAGTAGTAAAACAAAGTAAAAATACCTCCACATCCCAAATTAACATTATCTCTCTATGCCAAGTAGATAGTTTTTATTCTCCTATTGACTACAGTCAGGGTTTATTTTCAGAGACAGTTTTGCCAACGTAACATCAGGGCAGTAGTTTAGTAGGGTTTGCTTTACAACACATTTAAATGTATGGCTAAAAGTTTTAGAAAAAAATATTTTGCTGAATACATTTCACATTGAATTAATTGAATTAGTAAGATCAAATTAATTGAATTCATAGTAAAATATTATTACCACCATATGAACATACACAAAAAGTTTTCTTGTGATTCACAGAGGCTAGAATCAAGTACATTGGATGCAAATTAACTTAGATATAATACAATTAAAAACCATAAGTCTTAACAATCATATGCTCTCAAATACATAGTGCCAGGGACCTGGTTTGTGCTTGGCTGCCAGATTTCATTTTCACTAACTTCAGATCTTCACTTCAAATCAACTTTCCCTTCCTTGGTTCACATATTGTGGAATGGAATTGGATTTAAGGCTTTAGGATGATTGTTTAAAGACTTTTTGTCTCTAACCAGTAATACAGTGATTAACCTACAATATAGGTTAATCTATATTTACATGTTTTTGTTTGAGAGACATGATATCCCTTTATATTTGTGGGATTAGACAATTAAGGTGGGTTCTTGGTTGAGGGTATGGAATAGTGACCTTATGGTTTCCATCATTTAGGGAAAAATAAATGTTTCCTGATCCATGTAATTTTGTCTGTTTAGTTAATGTCTTTCCCCCCTCAGTGGGCTGTCTCTATAGGTTCCACAAAGTGATCTATTAAAGTTATTCACTTGTTTTGTGAGATAGAGGTGGTTTTCTTGTTAATAAGTCATGTGAGGTAAATAGATTCAAAGATTAGTGATAGTGCTTTAAATTTGAAGAACATTGTTATTTCACTTTAAGATTGGTGGCAAAAGTAACTCATAACTCGTGTCTGACAACAGAACACTTCATAATGTATGATGTACTATTTCTTTGGTGTAATACCAGAAAGGTACTTTATTAACTCATAAATATATTGCCAGAATTGAGAATTTGCATTTTGGCTGGAAGGTGAGGTTGTTTGTTCAACAGTAGTAGTTAGAGTAGTGGCTGGAGTAGTAGTTTGGGTGGTGGGTGCAGTTGTAGCTTTGGAAGTTGGAGAAGCAGGAGTGGTTGGGGAAGGATTAGGTGTGGTATATGGGGCAGTTGTGTGGTCCAGTATAGGTGAGGAAGGTTGTGGTGCTGGTGTAGTTAGGGAAGATGTAGGTGGGGCAGCTGTGGTGTCTGGCAGGGCGGGGGAAGGTTGTATTGATGGGGTAGCTGCAGAAGGGCCTGTATCGGTATCTTCTTTTTGAGATATGGTGGAGTCATTATTAGTAGAAGTCACACCTGGAGATGTAACAATTTTGTTGGAAGTAGTTATTAGACTCAGAGATGGGATTTGAGTGTTGGCCTCTGAGGTGCTGTTGTTGACAACAGTGTTATCTTTAGTTGGACACTTAGGTGGCTGGGGACGGTTCGGCTTTGGTTTTCTTCTGTTTGGAATTGGAAACTTTGGGTATCTGTGTGGACCAAAAATTAAATGCTTTTGAATTAATGTATTCCAGTTAGGGTGAAATTTGAGATGAGTTGGTAATCGGCGGTCTAATATATATTGTTGGACATTATTCCTTTTGTGATGTATTTTCCCTTGCTTTTTCCGACCTTCACAGAGCTGTAGAAAGAAAGAAAATGCAAGAACTGAAAACACCCATTGATTTATCAAGTAGGGGATTATTGCTGAATGTTGGATAGGCAGTATTTATGGAGCTCTAGGAATGGAAACCAGATAGCGGTGGGTTGACTAATTGTTCTAATTTTACCAAATCTCAAGAACAACTTGCTATTAGAGAGTTTCACTTTGTCAAGTGTTTATTTCACCGCTAGCTACAACGGATATACTCCTGTGGATTCAAGTCTAGAGAATTAGCTAGATTGTCCTTTGTGCTTATAGTTTCTTCTATAGTAGAGAATGATCAGGTTACTGCCTGAGGACTGAACAAAAGGGCACCCTGTTTGCTCCACTTTGGTCGTGAAACTTCAAAGGCATTCGCCTGGGACTAAGTCTTTTCTGAATCACACCTTTCGTATCTGCCATCATCAAAAAACAAAACAACAAAATCCCAAACAGCCAATTTAACAAATACACCACTTCCTTTATGACCTTCACATCAAAGAAAACTTAGTTTTTAGTTTTTTTTCAGTTGGAAAAAGAACTTTGGCTATTATCTTTTTAAAAAATATTTAACTAATTTATTTAAAGTAAGTTCCACATCCAACATAGGGCTCGAACTCACAACCCCAAGATCAAGAGTTGCATGCTCTACCAACTAAGCCAGCCAGGCACCCAGCCATTACATTTTAATTATATCATTATAAAAATTATAATTGCAGAAACTAAGAGGTCAATGAATCCTATGATATTGTAGGAAAATTTTGCATGTTTCTGTCTTTTGTCTGTAGAAGACCTGTAGCTCTCATGATTTCTCAAACATGTTCATATCTGAAAAGAACACTGATTTAGTTCAACTCCACACCCAGTACCTGATCTTTTTTCCCAGTATAAAATGGCTTTCCAACCTATGCTTCACCACTTTTTCTCGTCCTACACTATAAAGCTTTCTTAAGAGACAGAGTTTGGCACAGGCAAAGGTGACAACTTTTGAGAGATTAGCAGAGTTGTTCAGCTAAAATAACTTCCTCAGAGACTGATATACCCAGCCTTAAAAATAACTTCGGAAAGCATTAATTGTTTTAAAAATTAAATTATCCAAGACATTTCAGTTCATAACTGAGAATGTTCATAAAGTAAAATATTGGCTTTTGATCCACATAACTAGTATTTTTGCATAGCTCTCTTATATAAATGAGAGTCTGCAGCTCTGAAACTAGGATGCTCCTCTGATCATGGAACCTCTCGGGGGATGTACTCTATTATAGGGCAGTAGTTTTCTAATATAAAATAAGGAGGTCACATGTTCAAGCAAATTTTTCCTCAAGATTCAATATGTGATCCAGATAATCACAAAATTGCTTTGATTGAAGCAAGATTGGGGGCCTTGAATTCCACCAGCTCAGTCTCCACTTTTTTTGTGTGGTGTTTAAGGATGGTGTGAAGAACTCCCAGATCTTAGAGAATGTTTGAAACACACTACAGCAGATCATCAGGAGAGGTTTGGGTCTGTCCTGCATCTGCCATTAATACTGAGTGACTTTGGGCGAATCACTTAATTTCACTGGATCTCAGTGTACCCATTTATGGAGTCATTAAAATTAAATTAAATTGCAGATCCAGAGGCTGATCGTATGACTTCTATGCTTTGAAATAGTTAATGCTGTTTATTCATGATTAATCAGAATGATTAGCTTCATGAGAGTGGGGATTTTGTTTTGTTAATCTCTGCTCAATACCTAGAAATATGCCTGGCACATACTAGGCACCCACTAGATATTTACTAAATGAACAAATGTGTGGAATTGACAATAAAAAAGCCAAATTCATCACTAAATAAAATCTTAACATTTGTGTTAATTAGGATATGAAAATGTTTCAGCTACTTTAATTTTTAGATGACCAAAATAATATCTGTGATGTTTTGATGAAGACAAATTAAAGTCATATTAACTTTAATGTTAGCTTAGCACAGAACATGACCAGTTTGACTAGTTTGCTTAAGATATATTGACCAGTTATCATTATGATTGGCAGTTGTGGATGGCCCTGACATAACTTTTTTATTAGAATTGGGATTAGGGAAGCTTGAGAGGGGGAGGAGTTGAAAATCCCTCAAGGGTTTGAGCTTAGATTGAAGGATGGAAGTACTTATACTAAATATAGTTAAGCCAGGAAGAGCATATTTAAGATATCCTCATTTGCCTGTTCACATCTGTCATTTATTTTTGTAGAAAAAATCATAGCTTTTTGTGCACTTACTTTGTGTCAGGCTCTATTTTAAGTGGTTTACAAATGTAAATTTTCTTAATTCCTTTAATTCCTTAGCAACACCTGAAAGTAAGTCCTATTATTATCCTCATTATACAGATGAAGAAACTGAATCCCAAAGAGATAAAGTAAATTTTAGGAGAATATGTCTACATTTGTAAATGGAGATTATAACAATTTTACATCATAATTATTACATCTGTACTCTCCTTTACAATTTTTTTAAAAGATTATTTATTTATTTATTTATTTATTTATTCATTCATTCATTCATTCATTCATTCATTCATGAGAGGTAGAAGCAGGCTCCACGCAGGGAGCTTGACGTGGGACTCGATCCTTGGGTCTCCAGGATCACACCCTGGGCTGAAGGCCGTGCTAAACCACTGAGCCACCTGGGCCGCCCTCCTTTACAATTTTTAAACACGTGGTTCTTACTTATTCTTTAGCAGCTTTATGAGGCATCTACTGTTATTGCTATTTCCACATAGGGAAATTGGAGCCCTATAGATAGATTACAGCTCAAAGATTCATCTGGATGTTCAGATAATGAGCATAAACCCACATTTTCTGAATGCCATTTGTGTGTACTTTGTGCTGTAATCATGGAAATCAACACTAGGGTCCAGGGTAAAGCCCAAAATATATTTTTTTGGTGATAGTGGGGGAATGGATATTATGTGGTAAGTGAGGAATAGGAGAGTATCCAAGAGTAATTCTGTCTACCTTAGCAGTTCTTCTGCCTTCTGTATCTGTTTTTATAGCCATAGTATTCTGAGGCTATTCAGCGGCATTTAGTAAATCTATATTTCACTTCTTGACCCTTTCTTCAAATTTGTCAAAATAAAAGTGAACAAATATGTATAGGTATATAGCCTTAGAGGTAAATATGGTTCTTTATTACATCATGTATCCCCTTGAATCACTACTAATTTTAATTTTCCTTTCCCAGTAGACCCTAGATATCTTTTTCTAAAAGACCTTATTTATTTATTTATTTAGATAGAGTACACAAATGGAAGAGGAGCAGAGGGACAGAGGGAGAGGGACAGAGGGAGAGCAAGAAGCAAAGCAGGGAGCCCATGAAGGGCTTGATCCTAGGACCCACAACCTGAGCCAAAGGCAGACACTTAACCAACTGAGCCATCCAAGCGTCCTGGATGGTAAATGTCTAAAAGGTAGAGTACCATTTTGTAATCTTCTCTTGCTTTTAAAAACTGTTCTTTCCTGTCCCTTTTTATGCTTCCTTCATTTTTCTATCCATATCCAAACTTCTTACATGTTTTCTTAAGTTATCTTATAAGGTCCCATGGCTTCAAATATCTTTAAAATTTAAACTTCACTCTTAAACTTCTTTTTGAACTCCAGACAGTGTATAGTTGCCTCTTGACATCCCCTTGAAGAAGTCTAATAGCCATTTCAAATTTAACACATCTAAAACAAAACTCTTTTGTTCATTTCTTTCTTTGACTACACACCTAAGCAGCATAATGTATGGTAGACTTAATCAAAGTATGTCTTAAATTCACCCTCGTATTTTGTTTTAATTGCTGACATTTAGTAAAAGATACTAGATACTACCATCTTCTATCTGGGCACTGCCTTAGCTTCTTGCCTGGTTTCTCTACCTTAGTTTTTGTCCCCTGAAATCTATTTTCTTCCCAGGACCCAGAGTCAGGTCCTTCCTCTGTGGACACTCTAGTCATCCTGAGACCTCCTAATAATCTGAAAATAGAATCCATGTTCTACACCAATGAGGCCCTATATGATCGATTTTTCTGTATCTCCATCTTATCACACCCATGATAAAGTTAGTGGTATGGAAATATTGATTAACATAATTGAAATGAATCATTTCCTTTTCCTTTAATTAGCTTTTTCTTATGTTTTACAGAAAACAAAAGATGCTAAGCTTCTCGGAAACAGGAATTACATGTACATGTACTTTTGAAGTCTCAATTAGGTATATATGCACTAAATGTTACTGATGTATAAGAATAACAGTTATTTGGATGAATACTTACTGAGAAGCAAGCAGTCAGTGCACAAATGCATGCCAGCAGTGTCAGAGTCTTCATCTTTTTCTGTTGACTCTTGAGGAAAGCAGAAAGGTTGCTCACTATTAGGATGTTGTGAGAGATGGAATGCGTTTTGATAAATGACTTAGTTTTGTTAGAAGGTACGGTTTCAAAGACAGCAATGGTTTCTAAAAATTATGTATATATTTCCACTCCGTAGTGGTGAGGCAAAATTACTTCAAGCTAAAACGCACTCTTTAAGCGAGAAAGCAACGGAGGAGAGTCTGGAATTCTTCTTCTTCTTCTTCTTTTAACTAGTTTGTAGTAGGGGCATTTTCCACTGATACTAAAGATTGCCTAGGAAGGGCAGGATCTTAGGAAGTTTAATAAGAGAACAAAATAGTTTCCTTCTTATTTCTATTTTAGTTCTAGAAATTTCCCTTTTTGATGAAGCATCGAATAATCTGATATTTATTGAGCAGTAAATGTTTATGATTTTGTAAGTGTTCTATGATGTTCTTTTAAGCAAAGAAAGTGTTCCTTGTCTCTCTGTATAAGGCTGTTACTTAGGATCAAGAACCTTATCAAATGGACTCTTTCCCAAACTTCATTCTACTGAAGGTTTTTCTATTTGATGCCCCTTTTCTAAATCTCTAAAGGATGGAATTATGTTTTATTCATTATAATATCATCGTCAGTACAGAGTACAGATTTAATCAATTAAAAATATATTTCCAAAATAATTTTACTTTTGGCTTTAGGTTGTAGCAAGAGAGCATAAGGGAAGGATATGGCCTTCTATTTTTCTTATTTTGATCATGTATACAATATGTGCATGTCAGTTTGAGAGAGAAAATCATTATGTAGACAATACTGTTAGGGCAGGTAAATTCGTGTGCACACGTCAGTGTGGTGTGCTGTCAGATCAACTACATCTCACAAGAGAACCCTGCTGTTTATCACATGGGTGTTAGAGTCAGTAATAATTGGTCTAAATCACAGCTCTGCCACTTACTGTGTGACATTGAGTGAATTGCAAACTTTCATTTTAAGGTTGTACTGAAGATGAACTGGAATGATATATATTGCAGATTATCCTGGGCTCAATGTCTGATCCATGATAAAGGCTTAGTGGTGGTAATTATTATAGTACTAGTATACCCAGAAGAAAACCATCTGGCCCAATTAGAGAAAGGAATTGTCATTATTATATTATTAGATTCCTAATATCTTGTCGGAGTGTCTTCTCTTTATTTTTGAGATTAAAAAATATTCCCCATTGATGATATTTTCTTCTATTAACATATGAGTTGAATCTGTTATTACACAGTTTAGCAGTTCACAAGAAGAGAGGAGAGTAACTATTATAACAACTACTGCTATTACTCAATATATGTATGTAACTTGAAAGCTGCTTAGTTTACATTAGATATATTATTAGTCCCCAACATATCTAAAATATCCATATACCTGGCCAGGTGTGATTCTTTCTTCTTAGGATGTTCGATGCAATTGATGGCCTTCAGCTGATCCTTTTAGGATGGTAACTGGAAGCAAAGGAGGAGAAAGGACAAGAGAATTTTCAGGTTTTATAGCTCTTCAGTTGAGTTTTTTGGAAATAGGAAATTTATTGGATTTAGGATAAGGTCACTTCTGTCAGGGAATTTGATTTCAAAAACAAAGAGAGGATAGTTGTAATTTGCCCAGGTTGACAGCAGTCCTTTGTACATCAGTTTCTTCCTGATAAATATGGTAACAATAAGAGCTTCTCAGTGAATAGTTTACCTGATTGATGAGAAGTATTATAGTGAATGATGACACCTAAGAAGACTTGGACAACCATGGCCTAGGTCTTTCAAGAAGGAATAGATCTTCCACAGTTTCCTGTTGGCTTCTCAAAGTAAGCAGTGTGATCTCCCTCTGACAGTTTCATGTGATGAAGCAACATTTTTCCTCTGTCAAGAAAGATGATTTAGCTAAGGTCAGAGGATTAAAAAAATAACATGATGCTAAATACTGGTAAAGAACAATTGTTTCACACCTGAAAGATAAACATTGACTTCTTTTATATGAGTAGTTATTAGTATTTTGGCTTTTTATTTTGAGAAAACTTCAAATATGTAGGAAAGTGCAGACAGTAATATAATGCACAGCAATACACTTGTTCCCTAGATTTCTCAGTTGTTAACCTTTTGCTATAAATGCTTAATTGATCGATTTACTGTAATATTTGAGAAATCATGATAGCTAATTATGAGAACTAATCTCTACATTTTTCATTAATATTTCTTTAAATAGTTAACTTCAAAAAAACCCTTTTATAACACAACAGTAACATCCAATGACATTGGTAATTCACACATGTAACCTAAAACTCAGTCCATATGCAAATTTCCTGAATTTTGCCAAAAGTAATTTTAGTTGTTTTGTTCTAACCAGGACTCAGATAAGGACCATGCATTACATTCACTTGTTTTACTGGTTTCTTTAATTCTAAAACATTTTCCTCTGTCTCCCATGATATGATCTCTTGAATGATTAGACCAGTTGTCTTATAAGACATTTTTAGAAAGACGCCTAAGAACCATTTTTATAAAGATTTCAGAATTAAATACTTCTATATAAAATCATCAAACTGGAATACGATTTTGAAGCTGTGACTGTACTTCTAGTTAGTCAGTTTGTTTTTTCACTTCTGATTCCAGGATAAGGGTAGGTTCAGAAGTAAATTGTTTGGGTTTGATTCTTTGCTTCTCCATTTAATAGCAATATAGTATTTGGCAAGGTATCTAATTTCTCTAAGCCTCATTTTCCTATCTACAAAGTAGGAGTGTCATCTAACAAAATTGCTGTGAGAATAACATTAGATAATGTAAAGAGTCTCACATGGTGCTTTACAATTGTAAGCCTTCAGCTCGATTGGCATCATTGGGAAGTAGTAGTTTTTGACATGGCATTGAGTTAATGGATATAGATTATAATATCAGTTTCTTTCCCTCCTTTTTGCTAGTAACCAGTGATACGTATTTACCATAATGCTTGCTGTGGTCAAAATTAACTGTGGGGTAGAATTTTTATTGATATGAAGCAAGTTTTTCTGAGCCCATGTCTTCATTAGAACAATTCTCAAACTACCTTAAGTTTTTACTCACTTAGTTGATGACTTGTAATGACCTGATAAGAAATTGATAAGATTTCCAGAAATTTCCAGTCTTGATTCTCACCTGAAGATTTAGTTTTCTTTAAATATTGGAAAAGCATAAGAATCCAGTGCTGTTTAGCTCTTTTAAAATTTTTAAATAAATAATGAGTATAGTTTATTCTTTGAACATTCTTGCAGTGTGGGAGCCACTTGCCTGGCATTTTAGGAACTCATAATCATACCATAGCAATTATACCATATCAGTGATACAGTTTTTGGAAACAATGTATGGAAATTACCAACATCTAGACTAAATCAGCATTATGTCATATTTTAAATTAGTACTGGGTGTTGTGACATGAAACTCAACTGATAGCCCCAACAGCTTACTGCCCATTGAGTTCTGCTCCTCTGGAGTACAGAATGATAGCTGATTTTCTGCTCCTCGCTAAACTACTACCTCTACACCAAAATGTTTCATTGTCAGAAAGAAAAAAAAATTCTCACCTGATTCAATCAGTACCGGATGTTGGTTAATAGCAAAGTCCATTAACGTAGTATTCATAGTAGAAGGCTTTTACCAATCTTTTTCCTACCCTGATGCCAACCCCATGGATTTTTCAGATTATTTTATGTTTTCTTATCCTTCTTAGACATAATTAGAATACAGAGAATATCAATTATTTAAATCAGCGGATTAAGATAGCTTTTACTATATCAATGTTATCTTGGGATTTATTTTTGTGGTTTGAAATGTATCTTCTGTTTTTACTAAAGTTGAGAGTTGACTTCCTTTTAGAGTTTTGAGGAGGTCTTTTCAGGTTTACAGAAATAATCTGAAATAACAAGGAAGCAAATTTGGCATTGACACTGGAAAATTGGCCTGGAAAAGTGGTAGAGAGCAACGTTTCAGTTTTGTCTAGTCTTGGCAGGGACTCTATGACCTAGGTCTATACAGACAAGAGAAAAAGAAAGCATTATTTGCATCTTCTTTAGTTTTTGATTTCCCAGTACAGTCTGTTTTATCTGTATTATCAATCCTAATATCCTAAATGTGTCTGTCTTTTTTGTTTTCAAAGTAATTCCATATACTTCATAACTATCAATGTTTTAGGACAATTATTAGAAGCAAGTATAGTATTCTGGAAATTTGTAGGGCACTCATTTTGCTTAATGTAACTAAGCCAGTGGACCAACAATGGATAATGGTAACATTGAAATCTTAATACTGCTTTCTCTAAGCATGTCTATTACTAGAAGGTTAGATAAATAATTTGTACTTTTCAGTATAATATCTCATTTGGTATTTTCCCTTTCTCTCACTTAAGTTAGCTTGTCAATCTTTTCTTTGTCATGGCTATACCTTTTGTATTAGCTATGTACTTATGGATTTCGTTTTCTAAAACTAACCCTGTAGGTATTTTTTCTTAATTCTTTTTTTGATTTCAAGATTGCATTTTGATTCTTTCTTTCTTGTTTCGATTTAGCAAAACCTAAGGTAAATCATTCCACTAAGACTCTTCCTCATTGAGAGAAATTAGTTATTTTTGTAATTGCTATACCTGCTTCTGAAGTTTTTTTTTGTTTTTTTGTTTTTTTTTAAATTTTTTTTTATTTATTTATGATAGTCACACACAGAGAGAGAGGCAGAGACACAGGCAGAGGGAGAAGCAGGCTCCATGCACCAGGAGCCCGATGTGGGATTCGATCCCGGGTCTCCAGGATCGCGCCCTGGGCCAAAGGCAGGCGCCAAACCGCTGCGCCACCCAGGGATCCCCTGCTTCTGAAGTTTTAAGTCTACTTTAAAGATGGCATTTTATATTGGAGACAGAGACATGGGTAAGAAGGTCTTGGACTGAAAGGGCAAGAAGGGATACATGTCATTCTGTAGTAGAGAGAGGATTGATTAGTGGACGTT